CCGGAGCCATCCGTCGGCGGTGCCAGGTGCGGGTGGTGAGGCAGAATCCGCACGGCCGCTCCAGGCACAGGTGCAGGAGATAGACGAGGAGCTCGCATACCCGAGGGTCTGCTTGCCCGTGCGAGATAAACGCAGCTCCTCGTTCTTAAATGTTGCTTCCAGAGGTGCTGCTCAAGAAACCTTCCTCCTCTTTCTATCCATCTGCTCTGATCCCCTGCTCTCTGCTACTGCCTGTTAAGAGCTGAGTCAGGAGCAGGTCTCTAGGTGGACACAGGACATCCCCCACCTACCTGTCTTGCTGCTCAGATGCGTTCTGGATGATTTTATAGGGTGCCACATGTCCTGCAGTATCAGAACAAAAGGGACCTGCTAGTGCAGCTACTATTGCAGAGAGTATCAAGTAAAGTCGAGCCTGTGCCAGAGTATGGGGACCCAAGAGTGGAAATCCTGTGCATGCAGTATGGCCAAACCCCACCAAAACACTAACAAGTCATTTGCTCTTGTTTATCCAGGTAGTCTGGAGTTTTGATCCAACAGATGCAAAAAGGCTTATAAGAATAAAGAAAACCATTTATCATATGTAGAGACCTACCTAAAGAAAGGAAACAGAGAAGTTACACTAGGTGCATGCACCTATGCCTGACCTCCTTTCTTCCTTACAGGACTCAAAGAACCACAGTTTGTAGAGTTTAATGGGGGATTTAGTCAAGTTCAACTGGACTGGTTCAATGAAGTCCTTAAGTTCTCTGACGAAAACGAAGAAAAAGTTGTAGTTATGGGTAGGTCTGTTTCTCATACATATTAGTGAATGCATGCTTGTTGAGGCCCTTGGAAGGGAATCTCATCTGCTCAACTTAATTGTATGCTACAGGTGTGAGCATTGGATACTGCAGTTATTCCCATGCTCTGTTATTTCTACAGCTATCGCGCATCCTAGCTTCCTTTAGTCAGCCTTTCACCTGCAAGCGCTTATTGTCTCCAATACTTTATTACCCTATTTTGAGGACGTTCAGAACCTTCAGAAGAGTCCTGGATTTGGGGAAAAACACTGTTGCCGTTATGCAGCAGGTACCAAGAATATTACTGAGAAAGACAGTTGTTGCTGAGGCTCAGGGACTGACATATTGGGAGCAAAAAACAGCAAGACAGAAAACTGCTAGGTACTTGAGAAACAACCAAGTGACAGGGAAATGGTTCTGAGAACCTGGTAGGGAAATCACTACCGCACCAGAAATGCCTAAATGACAGCAAAGAGCAGAACAGCGGCAGGCACACAACAGGGCTGTAGCGGTGACTGCAACTTATACGCCAAAGAAGTTGTGTGGCCAGAGTATGCCAGCTGGGAAAACACATCCAGTATCATGCAGTAGCTTCATAGCTGCAGTGAGATATGCATGTAGCCTGTAAAGTATGAGAACAGCAATCTGTTTCACACTGAAAATGACCTTTCTGAATACAGAAAGAAGCCTAAACTTCCCAGCAAAGGGCAGTGTGTTATTGTTCAAAATGCACATTTAGACTGAGTGACAAACCAGAAGTGATCTTATACCTATCAGTGAATACCACTGAGAGGGGACTCAGTATTTAGATACCAAGAGGCAATATAAAAAAGAAAATGAAGGATATTTCATAAAATGAGAAATCAGAATTTTACAGATGCTCTAAGTTTCCCTGGGCTCTACACCAAAGCGATTCTATCATTTTTAGAGAATTCAAAATGTGGATGCATCTGTATTGAGCGTTGTTAGTATGTCTGTTATGTACCTGAAGTAATTCTTTTCCTTCTCAACTGCAGGTCATCTGCCCATTCATCCAGATTCTTCAGACAGAGTTTGCCTAGCCTGGAATTATGAAGATGCCCTTTCTGTCATACATGCTCATCAGTGTGTGGTGTGCTTTCTTGCAGGGCACCTGCATGATGGTGGCTATTGTTTAGATTCTCATGGAGTTCATCATCTAACTCTGGAGGGGGTTATTGAAACTCCACCAGAAAGCAATGCCTTTGGAACTATTTATGTCTATGATGATAAAATGATATTAAAGGGAAGGGGCAGAATTTCAGACAGAGTGATGTATTACTGAAAGCGGTAAGCAGATGAATGCAAATTGTTCTTCTTCAGGAATTACCCAAACTAAAACATAATAGCATCTACTGCAGCAATGGGATTCAGCATATTCAGCATATTTGTTCATAGAAAGATCTGCCTGGCTGATCCTTGTACATTTTTCCTCAAACATTTTTCTCTCAGATAAAAAATTTTATAAGTTATGTTTTTGTAAGAAACCAAATCTAGTCTCTTTTTGCAGAATAAAGAAGGTCAGTAACTGTGAAATAAATGTACCTGATTGCAAAGTTTTGACTCAGAACACCCAATCCTGAATGTTACTGTGGAAAAAAAAAAACATTATTAGGAAGGCTGTCTTTAAAATCCACCAATATTTTTTGCTATTGGTCAGACTTAGGACATGCAAAATTGTTCCTGCTCATCAGCATTTCAACTTTTTTTCAAACAAAGTCAGCAATGTCTCCAGTCTGGCAAAAGTTTCATCCTGTAGCCCAATACAGTCGTCTTAAGTTAGCTTTTTTCAAAATTACTTTTGTCTTTTAAAGCAAGACCCAAGGAAAATGGGGACCATCTGTGCTACATCAGCACAGTACTAAAAGGCCTAAGCTAAAAAACCTCAAGCCAGGAAGACTATGGCATCATGTAATGCCACAGATATACCAGCTGGAATCTACACATACCTAGCTGTATTAGCTTGCAGCAGTATTAAACTAACAAGCCCTGACTTTGGAAGACTTAAAGCCTGTTGCTGTGCTGCATCTGAAGCTATGCTGGCCCTCACCCAGCCACCTTGTGTGTCCAGTGTATTCACCTGTGCTTTCTTTTCCAGGATTAGTGCTGACAGCATGCTTACTCTGTCTAGACTGCTGTATATGTTCTGCTTTATAGAAACACATTCTGTGAAAAGCAGAGAGTTGTGATAGTGACTATGTCTGCTAGTGGCAGTCTTGAGCGTGCATCTCACAGAAAATAAATATATGCAAACTTTCTTTGGATTTTCTTTAGGAAAATACTATTTATTACTTTACAAAAACAGAAATTTTTAGTTAAAAATAATATCAAAAATTATTAATAATGAACCTAAAATATTTCTTCAGATATATTCTACATGTGATTTTAGCACAGAAATAGAAATACAGACTTAATTTTTCACTTAGTCTCATTAATGGACTATCCAGGCAGATACCTTGAGGTTTTACAGCTGCAAATAATTATCTATTGAAAGAAAGTTTGCAAGTACTTTTCCTCTTAAGTCACAGAATAGCAGATTTCCCCAGGTACCAGGTGTCAGGAGAGAACAGACCAGGGATGCCAGGATATCTTGAATAACTAATATTAGAACGCACTAGGTCAACAGTGCTTTGAAAATGTATAAAGGAGCAGTTTGAACAATAGTTTCTATAGAAAAAAAATCTTCACTCAGGTTTGACAGTGTTCTTTATTTTTTTCCAGTCCTCATTAACAAATCTCAAAACTGCAATGTGGCAAGCAGGCAGGCATTCTTGGGTCCTATCAAACTGGTATTAACCTTGCATTAGGAATCGAACAGCAGAGACAAGAATATCTGACCAGAATATTTATTGTATATGTTCTCCCATCCGATTAAACCACTGTTTTACAGTGAGTTGGCCAAGATGCTCGCATCTCTTTGTTCATGTAAATGTACAGCCACATAACAAAGGGAAAGAAAGAGACCAAGATTGCAGCAATCAAACGAATTCCACCTAGTGGGTTCCTACAGAGAAATAAATACAATAGTGCTATTTCAAATCAGACTCAGTTACCAAACATTCATACAGAACTGTGGTTGTTATGAAAGTCTATATTGGCTAGAGACCATAGCCTTTGCCACAATAATGAAGCTTATGTAGCTGTATCAGCAGAGTCCTTTGCTGAAGCAGTTACCACATGCCAAAAGCAAATTTTTCTGCTGTCTTCAGGCTACATAAACCAGCACTCCTGTTTGCACAGTGGCACCTGTGACATGTTTTGCCAACACAGAGATACTGTTTGGCAGATTATTTTTTTTCATGCTCCCAGCTAATGCAGGAATTCAGCAAAACTTCTCCCCAGCCTCCTCAGAGGTCTGTGCTACAGAAGTGTGGAGCTCCTGCAGTCAGCCTGCCATTTAGTGTTCTGTGAACTCTGCCTGGATCCCCAGTCTGCTGCAGAAGAATGCAGCAGACACCTCAGAAACGTCTGTAAATTGGGAGTTGTAGTAGAAACGGTTTTGCAACTGTGATTGATTACCAGTTGTGGTCAGCATCCACTAGCCTGTTCCACAGAAGAGGCATGTTCTCCATATGTGAAGGGGGAATGTGCCTCTCCCCCACCCCCCGCATGGAAAGCAGAAACAATCTTTTGTTTAGCTTCAGTTTTTCCCAGCAGACTTTTATCTGTGCAAGACCTTACAGGCTGCAACACTAACTACTACTGCTTAGGTATCTGAGATTTAGACAGTAACATGAAGCAGAAAAACAAGGAGCCAAAATCACTTACATGTTTTCAAGAAGCTAGTCCACTAAGTATGAATATATGAGTGGATTCAAAAAAACTTACTTTGCTGAACTGCGACAAAGACTCATCCATATTGTAATAATCAGCAGACCAGACAACTCTCTAAAAAGCCAAATGAAAACTAGATCAGAATATAATACACAGATGCTTGCTTGTAAAAAATAAAAATTCCTCCAAAAGAGTAGAGCAAGTATACGCTCCCTCCCTTGTAGAAGTTCAATGTATTTTACTAGGATTATAATTTTAAAGACATTTGCGCTGAGTAACTTTGCCTGACACCACAAATCTGCAAAAACACGACCCAGCTATACAGCTACAGAAATTCCTCCTTCAACTTTTTGCTCCACTGCTAAACTTATACTCCACAATACATTTATCCTGTTAATATACAGCAAACCAACACCCCAGGATTACATATTGTAAACAGCAGCAGCAGCAGCTGCCACTACTTCCTCTCTATACTAAACAAGCATAGTATCCAAGTCTTTACCAAGTGAGAATTTGTTCCCTTCTCTCTTCAGTCCCTAGCAGTTCAAGGACTCAGCAGAACCTGCCAGATAAGCACACATATGGTATCATCTCAAGAGTTTTTAACACTTGTAATTCCCATTCCTGCAGCTCCAGTAACAGAACACAAGGCTATTTCACAGAGCTACTTTTGTGATCTTTGAAAGCCAGGACTGCCCCTAATTACATCTAACTGATCCAGTCAGGTGGAATTCAGACAAGCAACCAGGATTATTCACTGTCTGTTTAGCTCTTTTGTCCAGCAAATTGCTGGTTTGTAACGCTGTGATTGCTCCTCCTTGGCTTAAGTCCTCCGGACCAACTCTACTCGCTGCAACAGCTCGGCAAATAAAGCTCAGCCTAAAGATGACCTATCATAAAGTCACAGCTAGCTTGAAAATGGCCTGGTGCACAGAATTCATTCAGAGAAAATGCATTACTCACCTGCCTTCCTCTTCATGCAAGATGTTTGCTTGAGTGTAAGCAAACAAAGAACATGCCAAGAGAATGGTCCCAACAATACAACCAGCAGAATGAAGATCACAGAGGGTCCTCCAAACAAGATTATCTGAGGGAAAAAACAGACTGGCACTAACCTCAGCGTAGCATGAAGAATACCCTATAAAGCCAAAAGTATCTGGGTTGCTGGAAAACAGATGCCTCCAGCAAACAAATACATCTTAGGCAGTTAGAATGGAATTAATACCAGCATCTTTATGACCAAGGAAAGCTGCTAAAAAGTACTGTTGAAAACATAAGCCAGTGGATTTGAGGCGTGTTTTCCCAGAAATGCAATTTCTCGGCAGCAGTACCTCAATGAAAGCAGCTCCACATTCTCCCTAGCAAATAAAACAGGCCTCAGGATCCAACATACACAGAAAATGAGGAGGAAGATTACAAATGGAAGTTCTCTTAAGCAGGAGGAATGGCTTTCCGAGAGCTCATGGCAATAGCCAGACTCAGCAGTGATACCAGAGGAACACCAGGACTCGGGGAGAGCAATTCCCAACTCCTGCCACCCAGTCATCAAGGGTACTGAGCTACTACCGCATTGCAGAGAATTTACTGCCTTCATTTACTCTCCCAGATAAGACTCTAACTTTTGCCTGTGATTATGAGCAACCTTAACGACATCTCTGTGGGCTGGGGACTGATATTTTAAACACAGAAATGAAGATGTTATAAAAAGTCTGAACGGGCCCAGAGATTCTTCAGTTTTTTTATGTCCATCTCCAGGTTCTCATGGGAGAGAGGTAAGCAAATGACATAGGCAGTTTGCCAGTAGACCTCAGTAATGTCAACAGCAAGAAACCACAAAGTTAAAAGCAGTCTTTTCTAGGCACTGACCCCTCCAGGCAAGTGTTAAAGATGATGGGCTGCCAAAATTCAAGAACTCAGTGTGATTTTCAACCTTCTTATCAATTCCATGGTAAACTAATCATTTGGCTGAGCTTACTGCAGCTGTGTAGAGGCACGATCTGGGTCTTCCATATTCTTGAATGGCAAATTAGTCTTGAATGACAAATAGCCCTTAGTATACATCCAAGGAATACACATCCTTGGAAATTCAACCATAACACAGAATTCTCTAGAAGTCTACATTGCTGTACATGCACTTTGTGTGGTAGTCACAATACTTAACACTAAATAACGCCTTTAGCTCTTCAAAGCATTGTACAGAGCTTAACTGCTCTTATATGACGTAGATAGATAAGCACAATTCCAATTTTACCACAGGGAAACAATGTGGATTAAGCAATCTGCTAATCTCAATGTCAGAGCCAGGGTTAAAACACGTTCCTAGGCTTGTGCTCCATAGAGAACTGTAATTGGAGTGCAATGATAAGACTATCCCAGTGGTATGCCTTCTGCAGGGGTCCTATGAGTAACATTTCACTCAGACATGCCCAACCACAAATACTAAAGCAAAGGCCATCTTTTCTAGAAACAAACTACCAACAGGTAGTATTTCCAGGCAGCCTGACCTTAATTTGTGAATCAATAAAAATAAACCTTTTAGGAGTAAACTGTGACCAGAAATTCTGTTTTGCACACAATATCCTACCTGTTATCGAGGGGTTAAGGCCAACAAGCAGCGTAAGGGCAGCTGGCACAAAGTAGACAACCTGTTAATGAGACATACATCTACTCGGTAGCAAAACCCAGCAACATAAGGCAACAATGGATTCATCCACATCCATACTTCTGTGTTTAGACTAGGCTCCCCTTCTTTTCCATAGTAGTTTGTCAGATGCACAGAACACTTGTATATCTTTCTCTCTCTGGCATGCCTTTAGATCAATAGTGTTCTTCTGAGGGTAACAACAACCCACAACGCTTCCCTGCTCACCACCCAATTTCATTGCACCATGCAGTCATAAGACAAGTTGAGCCCCATCCTGAGTCCTCACTGCCTAACCAGCTCTGTGCACAGGTCGCCAGCAGTGCCCTGCACCCCACCCTCCCCTCACTCAGGCTAGTCCATATGCTGCATCTTGATCCTCCAAGGAAAGCCCTTATGAAACTCCCCTCTGTATCCTGTGCCCATCAGCCTGCGCTGGGCAGCTCTCCTTGAAAAAGCTAGTGCTGCAACAGAACCAGCTCTGGATAGCTGGGCTCACCTACACAAGGTTAAGTGCAGTGGAGGGTGCAGCCCCTGACCACACAGCAGCTCTTGCGACCTGCAAAGATGATCCCACTTCCTTCCCCCAGCTCCAAACCCTGTTCATACTGAATCAGAGTCACCATGCTGCTCACGTCTACAGAAAGAGAGGAGTGGCAGAGTGGAAAGAGCAGAGGGAATATTCCTTAGGTTTCTTCTGAGCTGCAAGAAAGCTCCTGTTGATTTGAGTGGTTGACAATGCAGTCAAGCCAGTGTTTTAAAGCAACTACAACAACAGATGTGAAGATGGGATGTAGCTTGGTCAGGCAGTCTTAGGCCCAGAGAAGGAGGAACAAGATAAGTGGTGCTCGGCACAGGAAAACATTGAGGCAGCTGCAAAGCTGAGGTGAAATAAAAAATGCTGGGAGTACAGTCAGACTTCAGTCATCAGTACAATAACACCTCAGTGCTTATATGGGGAGAAAACAGACCATTTTCCAGGGATCTATTTGCTCTTCAGCTAACAGCATGGAGCAGGTTTTTGCTGCTCCAAGCCATATAGTCAGGTAGATGTGAGTTGGGCTGAGGCCTCTGATGGCCTGCTGGGGTTACAGCATCCCACACAGCACAGCTCCTGGATTTCTGCCCTGTTGCAGGCCTTTTCCAGGAAACCTATTCAAGGTTTCCCAGGAGGAAGAGGCCGAGCCATACTCACTATCCACAGTCCGGCGTCAGGGTCATTCACCTGCAGAGAAGAAGCATTACTAAGAGAGTGCTTACAAGCTTTGTCACAGGAGACGCCTCGGTTTGGCGACAGGTCGCGTGGAGAACAGGAGCCCCTCGGAGCCCGGCAAACCACAGCCCAGGCCCAGCGGGGCTCCGGCAGAGCCGCCCGCA